ATATATATATATATATATTATCATTTATATATAGGTTTTGGCATCAATAATTATAAGACTTGCTTTAGCAGAAACATTTTGTAAAGATTGCGGAATTCTCGCACTGGATGAACCAACGACAAATTTAGATCAAGAAAATGCTGATAGTCTAGCAAATACATTGGCTACGTATGTTCAGCAATTTTTTATTTAAATTATATTTAGATTTTTGTCACTTACTCTGAAATTTTAATGAAAGTTATTTTTATGTTAAAGGGTTGTTAAATTACGATCACAACATCAGAAAAATTTTCAATTGATTGTAATTAGTCATGATGAAAAATTTTTATTCAAATTAGCTGAATTAAGCAGTAATAAAGGCTTTTATCAACTTTATCGTAAACAAACGTATGTCTATAATAAATACATACACATGTACATGTGCACATATACATATACACTTTCTTATTTAATTTAAAAAAAATTGTATATTTTTAGTGGTTATTCAACAATTAAATATTGTTTAGTAGAGAATCAATATCATTTTGCATCAAATGATATAAAAGAAGAATCTGATGAAGAAGTCGATGAACATTCTTTACGAGATAAATTACAATACGAAATAAATTTAGGAGGGAAAATACATAATAAACAAATTTATAACAAAAAAAGAAACATCGAAGATGACGATTTTACTGAAAACAGAATATCAAAAAGAAGATATGTCTTTCAATAAATCTTCCAATAATAATTATATTTATTATATTTGTAATTAAAAATAAAATTAAAGTTTATATTTTATAAATATAATATTATAATTTTAATGAAACATTTAATCTATTAGTATTAAATTTGCACTCTATTCTTTATTATATTCTTTTTGATATAATAATTAATTTAATTAATAAAATAATATTTTTAAAAATTGGCGGTTTTTTTAATTAAATATAAATATATCGAGTATTAAATCGATTTTGACAGTCGAAATGTGATCATACTCGGTCGATAAAAGAAGCAAAGAACAGGTGACGACATCGTTGTCATACTCGTGATTTCATAACACGCCATTTTCTTTGTGTGAAGTACTGGTCAAGAGGAATTTCACCTACTATTTTCTATCTATTTCAAGGTAACGCAATTTACAATTAATATTTTATTATTTTGTTGATTATTGTTCATATCTTTAAATGAACGTCATGTATATCTTGTAGAGCCCTTGTTTAATTCTAATTCTAAATCTCATTCGATCGTAAGATCGCATGTTGACAGGTTTTTAAGCATCGCAGTTAAACGAATTTTGTATCTATTAGATCGCATATATTATTATTTTATCATATCTCTTTTTATATTGATGTGATGTATTGTATTTTTATTATAATATCATTTAAATATTGTGATCATTAACCGCCAAAACATGTATTTGGAACATCTTCATGTAATAATTTTTTTCGAGTAATATACATACGTCATTACAAGGGGAGTACTTTTCCCATTCACGTTCAATGATTCACTAAAAATCGGATTACTATTCTATGTTCATATTATTTTATAGTAAAATTTCATATTCTTAATGTTGCATAATAATATGATATTTATTTAACATTCAGAAATAACTTTCCAATAGTATAACCAATTATTAATTCTAATTTTAAAGATATTATGAGATTTTCTTCAGTATAAATTTCAACCAATCAAAATTGATATTTATTTATTTAAAAAGAATTAAGAATATTTTAACTAAATGATAATGATTAACTTTACATGTCTATTTCATTATTTATATTTCATTCTTATCTAAGTTGTATACATATTCTATATATATATATACATATATATTTAATTAAAAATTTTAATATTCTAAGAGAGATTTATATATATATATATATTTTTAATACATTTTTATAGAAATGATTTTAAATAAAATTTTTTAATGTTATGATTAAGTTTTCTAATTGATTATACTTTTAAATAGAATTTTAATGTCAGTTTATATTTTTTAATTCAATATATTAACAAAATTTATAGCAAACATATTTTTTTGTTTTTAGTTTACAATGGCTTCTCATAAGAAAATATTGCTTAAAGTCATTATTCTTGGGGATTCTGGAGTTGGTAAAACTTCTCTTATGAATCAGTATGTAAGCAAAAAATTTAGCAATCAATATAAAGCTACTATAGGTGCAGATTTTCTTACCAAAGAAGTAATGGTAGATGATAGGATAGTTACTATGCAGGTAAATATGTATTAAATAATATTTATGTAATGTTATATTATAATATTATATTATAATATTTATATGTTATATATTTTTTTTTCTATTCTTTATCTTCTACTTTTAAATAGATTTGGGATACAGCTGGTCAAGAAAGGTTTCAATCTTTAGGTGTTGCTTTCTACAGAGGTGCTGATTGTTGTGTACTTGTATTTGATGTTTCTGCACCAAGTAGCTTTAAATCTTTAGACTCTTGGAGAGATGAATTTTTGATTCAAGCTTCTCCTCGAGATCCAGATAATTTTCCATTTGTAGTACTCGGAAATAAAGTTGATTTGGAAACCAAAGTGGTAAGAATATTTTAAATATAATTTTGTTATATATTTTTTTAATTTTTTTTTTTTTTTACTTAAAAATTTCTACTTGCTTTAATTGATTTAAATTTTAACTAGCTTATTTTAATAAATACTTTTCAGATTCATGGTAAAAAAGCACAACAATGGTGTCAATCTAAAAATAATATTCCATATTTTGAAACTAGTGCTAAAGAAGCCATTAATGTTGAACAAGCTTTCCAAACGATAGCAAAGAATGCTTTAGCTCAAGAAAGCGAAGTAAATCATCTTTTTTTATATTATTTATTTTATATATTTAAGTAACATTAATAACATTATATAATAAATAATATTATTATTTTAGGTGGAATTATATAATGAATTCCCAGACCAAATTAAGTTGACGAATGATCAACGAAACAATGGCAAAGGTGATTCTTGTGCCTGCTAGGTCTTTGAGTGATGGAAATTTTGGATAAGCACATAGATGCACAGGTCAGATCGTACATTCGCGTACCTGCGCATTTTAAAAAATACTATATCGAGCTTGATGTGTTTGGAAGTCCTAAGTATGCACCTTGGTTTTCTTCAATTTTTCATTAAGATATTTTTAAAGCATATTTATAGTATTGGAACTTTTTTTATTGAAATTATGTGAAATATTGTGGAAAAATATATATGTATATAAGAAAGTTTATAAGCAATGCATTTTAAACAATAAAATTAGAAAAATTTTGTACCAAGGAGCATTCATTGGCTTCATTACATGAAAGACTATATTGTATTTTATATCGTGTATTTGTGTTGATATTTCACTTATCCAGCAATATTTCAACACATTATTTCCAAAAATTGTAATGCTCTCTTATTGGGTATAGCGAACAGTATGAGCTGCCCTTTTAAATTGCATCTTTACAGCTCATTGTTGATGTTCTTCATTGTGGAATGATACTACGATGTTTATGAATCATATAGGCATAATTTATATCGGAAGGAAAATTTATGGGTTGGGAACACACTTAGCATAACAATTAGATCATTATAAATTTGCTCATGATTCATTAAATACAATCACATTTATTGAAAAGTTCTAGAAATATTTGTGAATATATTCATTTGATTATTTCTAAAATCTAATTTTTATTGTCAAATAAAATGAAAATTTTATTATTATTCAACATAATATATTTCAAATACATATATAAATAATTTTATAAAATAATGGATTTTTATTGAAATATTGTAATTATTTAATTACCTTTGAATTTCTTCAATAATCTAAATCTTGCTAATTGTTATGTTGATCAAGATATTCTTATCTTCAAAAAATAACTCATATTTTTTGCGTAAATTTAAATAATATTGAGTTTGTTTAATAAAATTAATGCGTATTTCCTGATATTTCACGATCATCTTAATCTCAAAAGGCTAGTGCGTTTTCAAGAAAAAAATTCCCTTCTTAAAAAATCTCAATAACTATATAATTTGTCATTTGATATTCTCAATCCACTTATAATATTTACATACTAATATTTTCATGTATATTTAAATTCCTCCCTGAAGTGAAAGTTTTGATGCCGCGATGCAATAATTTTTTAATTTTTTATTGTATCCTTTAAAAATGATTTAGATATATTCATGAAGTTTATCAAATATTATTTAAAAAGACAAAGATTTTGTTAAAAAATTAAACATATCATGCAATATACAAAAAATATTTAATGATTTATTTCTAAAAGTTAATAATTTTTATTTTTTTTATTTTAATATTATAAAATATATAATATTTATAAGAGATTAAATCCATTGAAAAGAATTATATAAAAATCAAAAGGCAATTTTATTAACATATATAAATAATTTTCTTTTTTTAAAAAATATACTTTTGCAATGAAAAAATATTTTTTGTACAATAATTATATTCTAAAATGATAGATTTATCTAAAAAAAAAATCGTTATAAAAAAAATATTTATAAAAGTGATATTTATTATGCAAAAAAAAATATGCGTCGCGGTACTAACGATCACTTCTTAAGATATCTTAAAACAATTATTATTTTAGAAATAAGCCACTATCCTGAAAAATGTAGAACAAAAAAAAAAAAGATTATGTGAGCTGAATTCATACATACCTATAAGATTTCTTATGAAAAAATTTAATACGTGAAATATATGCGTACATTTATGATAATTTTGGACGATATAAATGTGTGTCATCATACATGTACGCATATTCACGTAATATATATGTATATAAATGATGATGGTCATGACGATTACAATTATAATTATTAATATAATTTTATCAAAATATGTTAACGATAATTATTATAAATATTATCATTATTGCTGCTGCTGCTGCTGCTATAAATTACTACTATTGCTATTCTTAGTTTTAAGTGAAAAACAAGAAAATAAGAAGAAATACATTTATTGCAACAAAATCATCAGCTGGTCGAATTAATTCGCTGAATATCTGTGCCACGGATAATCATCGTGTGACCTGAAACAAAATATAAGACTATCATTATCCTTATTATGACTCGATGTCTATGTTGTTATTATGGAGATGAATGTCTGTTGAAATAGGTAGTAAATTTAGTAATTCCTGTATGAAGTAGCGCATAAGATTAAAATATAATTCAATATAACTAATAACAATACAACTTAATACAATACAACTAATTTAATAATTGAAAAATATTGGGGAAAATGGCTTTTTTCAAGTCAAAGGTTAGTCTGTAATACAGTGTAGTTTCGAGAATTTCAACATATTATGTTTCAACCGATGTAAATTAAATATTTACCCCTTGTACGATTGTAAAAAAAGTATTCGTTTTTATATAATGCAATTTTATCTTTCCTTTGAACCAACTATTTAATTAAGTAAAGTCTACAAAATATACATATGATGCACTTATGTGTACATATATGAATATACATAATGAATGTTAAACCAAGGATATATCTATGAGTAGATTATAAAATGCGTATAGAATATTTTATATTAATGTATAATATTACACGGCCTTTGTTAAGTTTTAAACAAATTTTTACAATTAATGTCAAATATATACAACATACATACGCCTTTATAGAGAATAAATTACATTCATTTACAGATAAAATATAATATGAAATAATTATGTTTTTTGTAAAAATTAAAATGTAATTTCATTCTTGTTATAACGAATTGTGTTGTGTGGTTCTATATGAAATTATAAATTTGAAAACTTATAGAATATATAAAAAAAAATTCAATAATGAATTCAATATGAATACATTAACAAGAAAATTATGTAGTTATATTAAAACATCTTTTAATAAGTACAAATTTAAATAATTAAATAATTAAATCTAAATTTGTGTAATAAATAAAAATACAATATACAACATTTTATTCGATAAAAAAATATTAGAATTAAAAATTAACTTTTGCAAGAAAATGCAAAATTTTTAATCAATGTTTTAATTATTACAATGTTAAAATTATTCTATTTGAAATTTTTTAAATATTTCAAAGATAAAATGTTTTTTTTATTTAAAAATTCTAAATAGTTTCAATGATTTATTTCATTGATCTTTTTTAACATTGAATATTATATATATAGTAACTTGAACTATGATATGAACCAGCAGTAAATCTATGTATATTTTCTAAGACTAAAAGGAAATTAATTTTAATTTATCATAATTTGGGAAAAATTTAAGTAAAGTAAGTTTCATATTTAAACAAACATTACTAATTTTATTCTATAAAATATAATAATAATTTTCTCAAAAAATAATATAAATATTTACATATTATTTACTATTCGATAGTAATATATTTTTTAAATTAGTTTATTAATTTAAATTTATTAATTTTTATTTTTATTTTTCTTAATAATTTTTTATATTTCATATATTTTTTATATGAAATATTCATAATTATTTATTTCATAATTATATTATAAAGATATCGATTAGAAGAATTCATAAATAAAAAATAAAAGACAAGATATATATTATATATCAAATTTTTTTAACAATTGTTTTCAACATTTTTTAGATTAGATAAATGAAACTAATCAAATATTTTTACAATCATTGTTCAACAATATTTTAATGTTTTGTTTTCAATATTAGCAAAATAATAATTTTTGATATGCACGTTGAAATTACTAATAATGTAATGCTAAATTTTAAATTATATCAATCAAATTTTAAATTTTTATTACAAATATAAATAGAGAATATTTGAATGACTGCATCAAGATATAAGTTATAGACATGACATATAAAGGTTATTTTATGTAGAGATAGATGAATATGATGTAAGTACATATAAAAAATTTGTTTTAATTATTGTAACATAATTATGGTAAATGAATAATTATTATATTAAAGAAATAAGTTATGAAATTTTTGAAAATTAAAAATATTTTATAAAAATTCTATTTGTAAAATATTTCATTTTTTATAATTAATATTTAATTTTCTTATTTATTTACATTGATATAAAACAACTGTTATTGGATTATAAATATACTATTTGTATATATAATTCTTTATGTAATTCCTTTTTTTTAAATACATAATGCAACATTATTTAAAATACATTTTAGCATATAAAAAAATATGATATAATGCTTTATTAAAGAAATTGAATTAAAATTAATTGATTTGTAATTAAAATTAAACATTCATAAACTTATTTTAATAATATTAAAATATTAAATTTTTATAAAATATAATTAGTTTTTTTAATTTTCTAAGTTTATCAAAATTTTAAAATTATGCTTTTTATTAATTCATAATAATAAGCAAGTATATTAATAATATACTTATATTATATATTAATAATAATAAAATTAATTTGTATTATTAACATTATGATGTTCATTTATAAAATTTAAAAAAAATAAATTTAAAATTAAAAAATAAGAGATTAGAAGAATCAACTATCTTATGAGATTTTTATGTAATTGAATTAGAAAATTTAATTATATACATATATATATTAATTAATTTAACTAACCTTAATTCTCTTAAAATTGGAAATTGTTATTATTGTAATAATAATTATTTTTTTTTATATTTATAAAAATATTATTTTCAGATTATAGGATATTAAAAAATATAAAATATTAAAGAAACAAAATATGATGATAAATATAAATATAGAATGTTTGAAATTTTTGTAGTAATTAGTAAATAGAAATTATTTAAAACTTGCAGGTGTAAATTCTGAATTTTTAAAAGAATTTTTCAATATTTTTTTATAAAATATATTTTGTAAGATAAGATAGAAATATAATACAATATATAAAATTTTGAACGTTTATTATAAATAATATATTATAATTCAATATTTAAGCTTTAATTTATATATAAATATGAATTATATCTTATACATGATAAATAATTTTCAACATTAATGAATTCAATGTTTAAATTAAAATTAAATAATTTTTTAAACAATAAGTTTTAGTCTTTGAGACAATCTGTTGTGTCATATATAGCTTGAGAAGTTACGTTTTGTAATCTAGATTGAGCATTTGAATTGCAAGAAGCTTGCATTGACAATATTTTTAATTGATTATTTTGTATTTGTCTTTTTGCCTGTGAAATTTCTTGTTCATATTGACGAATCCTTTGATTGATATATCCAACTTTTATAAATATGCAACTTGCCATTTGCATAGTATTTGAATTATAACAATCTAAAACAACACGATCCAATTCATTCAACAAGTTCTTTCCAACCTGAAAATTAAAAGTAATTTATAAAGTAAATTAAAAGTAATTTATAACATACAAATTATTTTTAAAATTCTCTTTAATATTATATTTGAATGATATTCATTTTATAAGTAATTTGTATAAATTTTTATATAAATAATTTTCAATAAATAAAAGAGCATGATACATACTATTTCTTGAGCATCAAGCACTTGTAATTCTGCTTCAATACTTTGCATTGCTTGATTTTTACATTGATTGAGACTATTGTATTCTTTTTGATAGGCATTATTCACTTTATTTGTGACGGCATCCAAGCAATTATCAGCATTTTTGCCTGATTCATTTGCTTCTTCTCTTTTTTTCTAATAAAAAATATAATTATAATTAATAATTCTAAATTTTTATAAATTTAATAATGCTTTACCTAGTTTCAATCACTTCAAGTTTTAATAACCTCTTAATTTCAATTGATATATTAATTAATATTAATTAATAACTTTTATATAATTAATATATATAATATTTCCTAAAAAAGTTATTTCTAGAAGACAATTATATTATGAAAAATAAAATTTTAAAATAATAGTTAAAAATTTACTTAGTTAGAAATAATAATTAATGATTTGTATAGCAAAAAAATCATTGTTATTGTAAATAGTCTAAATATATTTTTCAATAAATATAATTTTTATTAAGAGATAAAATATAATTTTTATTAGGAGATAAAACTATTGAATCTATTTTAAAATAAATCGTTTTATAAAAAAGTTTATTATATACTATTATTAATATATTTCTATTATTTTATTAAAAATCATTTACTTACTTTAATTTATTCTAACTTACTTTAATATAATTAAGAATAAAGTTTTTATTGTTGAGCATTTGATTTATAGATTGAGTTTGATATGAGTAAATTTTCTGTTCTGCATCTCTCCTTATAGAAGATTTAGAACGATTTAAATCCGACAGAATAGTTTGAACTGAATTTTTAGCTTTCTTCACAGCCTCACTTGCTTGTTGCAATGAATTACCAGGCCACTAAAAATAATTAAAAAAAAATTCTATATTAATTCTTAAAGAAGAATAAATATTAAATTATATTATTAATTTACTAAGCTCGATCAATAATTTCGTATTATTCAAAATATCGCTAAGAAATTTTATAATGTTTATAATATTATATAAACTTTTAAATATTTTATTAAGAAAACAACGCATAATTTCGCGTTGTGTTAAAAAAATCTGATTAAAAATTGTATAAAATAATATTAATAATGATTTATTTTTCTTAATACTTTATATTAATTTTTTATTAGGTTTTAATTCATATTAATTTAATGAATTTTAATAAATTTAATTTAAAATAAATTTATTTTAATAAATTATTAAAAATTATAAATACTTACTACATAATATTTTACATATTCAAAAATATTTTATAATTTTTTTATTATATTAAAAATTTTTAAAGATTAATGAATCTTATGATGTACGTACAGAATCTACAAAACATAATTTTTAAAATACGAAAAAATAATTCTTACTATTTCGTTCATCAAAAATTTTTATTATTTTTTAAAAATTCTTAAATCGATAGAATTGCTCAACGATTAGTTAATTGATTATTTGCTTACTTGTGCAGCACAGAGAGTCACTAGAAGGCAAAAGAAAATGAATAACTTCATATTTGCGAAAAAAGAAGTTTCAGTATATTTATATCACGTTTTTTTGCGAATTGCGAATTGACAGATAGATTTGCCTTTTTATATGTAATTCGCTTATAATCTAATAGTGAATCATTGAAAAAAAGAAAAAAAAATAAATGATAACATTTCCAGGTATACTCACAGTATATTTTATCAATTTGTCATTGGACAATTATATAATGATTCTAAATTGATTAATTATTGGTAAAATACCTATTTTTTATTGTAATGGATTCTATTTTTTACATGTATATATTTTTTTTGTATTTATATACAAACATATTTTATGTTATTTCTGATGAAATTTAGTTTATGAAAATTTCTACACAAATAAAAATTTAATTTTATTAATTATCTTGTATATCTTAATAAAAATTTTTATTTTAATATTTTTTATTTTTTTTTAATGAAATTGAAAATCATATACCAATAAAATATTTAATATTATGATGAAATGTGATAAATATTTTTTATAAAAGGCTTAATAACATTATCTTTCTTTACTTGAGTATTAAGAATTAAGAATTTCTTGATATAACAATATGATATGTTATAAAATATATAAAAAAATATATATAAAATTATATAAAATAAAATTATATAATATAAAACATGGGTTATAATATATAATTTAAATATTTTTATAGTATTGTGTAATAATATTTTTTTTAAATATAATATCTTTTTTATACATATATGCAAATATTAAAAATTGAACTGAAATCTACTATATCATTTAATAATTTTTATTTATTCTGCTTATTTTTCTCAATTCAAGCCATTTCTTTTTTTCTTGATATTTAAATTATATTTGTAATAATAATAATAATTATATTTATATTTATTAAATCTTTTAAATAATTCATAAATCAAACAAATTTGTTAAATGTTAATTTGTTAAATTTGTTAATATAATATATATATATATATATACATATATATATACATATGTTAAATGTAATATGTTCGTTAAATTTCATAAAAAAAATTCATTTTTTAATAGAGAAATAAATTGCAATTTCAGTATGATTTTAATTATCATTTTTTTAGCAGAAAGATTTATTGAGAAAATTAAAACTTGATAATTAGTAAATTTTGCTGTTAAACATATATACATATTTATATATATTTCAGTTATTTTTCAATAAAAATTTTTTAATGATTTATTCATAAAGAGATAAATTAAGAAAAATTTAATTCATATTATTTATAATAAAAATTATAAAAATATAATTAAATAAGAATAAAGAAAATAGAGAGAAAAAAAAATTTTGTAAATATGAAATTAATGATATTAAATACTTTCATTAGATTACATATCTTCATTATCAATATTTTATTTTAAATAAGATTACTGTTTCCGACACATAATTCAAAATTATGAAAATATTTTTTTTATGATTAGAAATTTAAATTTTAAAGTTTAGATTTAGATTTGTTTTTAGATTGTGATTTAAAATCTTTAAAAAATATATTATTTTTAAATATTATAATGATGTATATATGCAGTATATATGTGTGCAATTTAAAGACTTAAGAATTTTTTCATCTTCTTCATCATAATAATATAAATCTATGACAAGAAATATATATATTCATCAATTATTTATTTCATTTTTATTTTTATTTTCAATTATATAATAGTTTAAATATTTATTAATAGTTATTTTATAATTAATTATAAAATATCAAATATTTTATATATTTATGAAGAATATACGAATTTTTGAAGAATAATTTTTACTTAATTTTCAATTTTTTTGTTTATTTAAGTTTATTTTTATTTTATTAAATAATATTTATAATAATAATCTATAATAATATATTACTGAAGATAGTAATTATATTATATTACTTTATATAAATTTTTTTTTTTTGATAGAATTTTATTTCGTAATTATTAATTAAGAATCTCAATCGTAAAAATATTTAATTAAATAGAAGTTATTTATCATTTAACTCATTCAATTGAAAAACATTATTTATTTTTTATCTTTTTTTATCACAATTCACAATTAATCTTTTATTTGAGTAATAGATAATATTTTTATTATTCAAACTGAAATAAATATCACATACTTAAAAACTTTATGAATATTTTATTTATCATAATCTTATAATAAAAATATATTTTTTGAGAATGTTTATTATAATTTTATTGATTGTATATTTTAAAAATATTTTATAAGATTGTAAATAGTGAAGAAATAGAAAGTAGATAGAAATAGATTCAATAAAAAAGAATCTTTATAATATATTTATTTCGATAGAATGTTTTAAAATTTCTGTTGTTGTCAGTTCAGATTTTTATTTAAATTTCACTAAAAATTTTACATTAAAATATTCACATCATTATTATTAAATATATACTATGTTTCACGAGATTGTTTTGGATATATTTGTTTATATTAAAGATTAAAATTCTAGTTTTGAAAGAAAAATAACAAAAATATGTCTAATTGACATTTATATCTTTAGTCATGTTCCAAGAACTATGAAACAATTATGAAATAGAACAAATAGTACGAAAAGAATAGATCATAGAAAATTAACACTATCTTTAAAATGCAGATGAAACTACATAAATAAAGAGAGCAATTAAAAAAAAAAGAAAAAGATAGAAAAAGAATAAAAATTAATTAATGCTATTTTTCGAATTCCAAAAATATCTTTTTAAAGACATTAGAATAAGAATTGGGAATCAATGCCATCTTTTGAATATTTTTAAAAACATATTTTTATACTTAAGAGATTGCGTTAATGATTAATTCTTATCATGTTTCTATCTTTTTCCTTTATTTATTTTTCTTATTTATATTTACGAATTCAAATATTCAAAAGATGGTATCGACTTTTAATTTATATCATTATTTAATTTATTGATTAAAAATTTTAACAAAATCTATTCCATATAATTTTTATATATTATTCTATATTTTTGTATTTTTATTTCTATATATCACATAATTTCTGCACTCACTAAATTCTAAATCATAAAGAATATATCAAATTCTTTAATTTTTTGCATCTTTTAAAATATGAAACATAATAAAATTTTATTATATGTTGGGTTATCTGCTATTTCATTTGTAATGCTACTAAAAAGTGAGAATTAAATATTATTCATAAATTCGTAGCCATCTAGCAATAACGCTGGTAAACATTGTTAGATTTAGTAAGTTGATGACTAAGCTATTATATGTATATATCTTATTATTCGAGATGGATATAAGTGTAAAAAATAATAACAATGAAGATAAAATTCAAATGATTTTTGGGATGCTTAAACAACAAATAGATGAGTACGATATTATAAGTAAGGATAAAATATCAAGAACAGCATTAAGAAAGCAAAAAATTAAAAAATTAGTGACAGAAGAAAAACATTTGTCCACAGAGTTTCAAAAAATTAAAAAAGAATTAAAACGTTATGAAAAAAAATATGAAAAGGCATTAAAAAAGAAAGTGAAACTATTGAAAATACAGATTGAAGAAGATCGACGTAAATTAGAAGCTACAAAACAAAAATATTACAAATTAGAAACTTATGTAAATATAGCAGAAAAAGTAAAGTCAAAGAAAAAAAGTAAACCATTAAAAGTCAAGATGATGTTACCTAAATTCATACAAAAGAATCTACCACTTAGTAAAAAGATTAAAATTAAAATTAAGAAAAACGAAAAGTTAGGTAGGCCTGAAATGCACTTTATAAACGATATTAATGGACAAACTGTATCTTCTAATTTATCATCTAATTTACTAAAAATTATAAAACCTACAATAAATACTCGAGAATGTAAAATTGTTTTACAAAGACTGACGGAAGAGCAAATGAACAAATATATTAGTCAAAATAGGTTAGGTCAAGAGCGTATAACAAAAAAGCGTATAACACGAGATTCTTTAAAAAAAAATAATGGAAATGAAATAAGTATGATTTGTCCAAATTGGCATATAAAAATTCCAAAATCAATATTTCAAGAAAATCTCTTACGCATTAATAATTTTAATCTAAATTCAACTTCTATTTCAAAAGATGTTATATAATTAAATATAATATGTTTGATTATTATTAGTAAAATTTATTGTACATTAAGAAAATTTTATTAATTATCAAATTATCAAATTTTATCATTGCAATTATTTTGTTATCATAATCAAAAAATTAGTAATTTTAAGAAAACAAAAAAAATAAAAAATATTTATTGTATAATAAAATTCTAAGAAAGTATTATATATATATATATAGTGTATATATAGTACATATATAATAACATAATTTTATAATAATATTTATGTAGAGTTTTGCACAAAGAAGATTAAACACAATATACAATTAATAAAAAAATAAAATCTCATGCTTTAAAAAATTGTTAATTATTATATTATATAAATATATAGTTAGTATATATTGTATAACAAAACTCAATATTATACAATATATATATTATGTACATACATATAATAATTTTACAATAATACTTAGAATTTTGCACATGAAACATTTAATATAAATAATTAATATGCTGAAAAGTAGTTAATTATTACATTATGTATAGTTACTTTTATTTTTAAAATAATTATTGTAAAATGTTAATTAAAATATAATTTCAAATATATTATATACAATATTTTTGTATAATATTATAATATTATATTATATTATAAAGTTTTATTAATAAATAATTTAATGTTTAAATTATCATATATAAATAATTTAATGTTTAAATTATCATATATAAATAATTTAATACTTGTTATTATAATTATATTTTGACAAGGAAAGATAATTTTTATATGATAAAAAAAATTTCCAAATGAATATGGAAAATTTTTGTTTGTGAATTTAATATATTTAAATAATTGCCGTACACTGGTACTAATTATCATTTCTACATTAAGCTACACATGAATGATATTAAAACGAAATACATACTAATAAATTATTATTAAACGAAACTGTACAATGCTGTTTCGCTATACTAGCGCTTAGAACAGTTATTTGCTTATTCTTGTTTTATGGACAGGCAAAAAAAGGAAATGTTAAATCAACTACGGATTTCGAGATCGCAGATTGTAAACTTATATGCATTTGCAACAAGATAACATATTTCAAAATATTTGCAAAATATATTTGATATGTTAGCAAGATGAAGACAATTTATTATCTTTTAAAGAAGTTCAAATAAAAATTAGCATTTTAAATGTAAAATAAATATACATATAGAGTATGTCGAGTATGTAAAAAACAAGATACGAGTGAAAAAAAAATTGTCATGTGTTAGTTGATAAATTATAGTTCGATGTTCGAATATATATGTATATAAGAAAATATATATGTATATTGATTATGGAATACATTTCTTAATGAGTCTTCAAATTGCATTTTATCTATTGACGAATATATTTAATGAAAGAAAAATAATTCTAAAAAATAAATAAATTTTATACATTAAAAAATATTCGTCAATATATAATTAATCTATACAATTCATTTTCTTTTTTTGCTTTACATTATTTTTTCGTTACAAATATTATTTATTTATTATCGTAATTGTAATCATATATAAATTAGAATGATCTAATTTGTTTTTTTTTTTATTTATTACGATTTGCATTATTGTAACGAAAATTTTGATCATACGGCTATACAAAATTTATATTCTCTTTTTCGATCTACATTGGTTATTTAAAATTTACAAATATTGAGGAAGGCAGTGAATTGATTTACTACTCAATTGTTGTTTTATTATATAGAATGATTCTTGGAACAGATGATTTTTTCTTTTTGAATATTGATAAAATAGAATTATTGATAGAAATAATATCTCGTGTCATATTTTATATAAAAGAAATACAAATTAAATATTTCAATAATGAAAATATTTATAAATTTTATAATTTATTTTTAAATACTTTTACTTATAAAATAATAAAAGTATTTTGTGATTCTATATAAAAAAAGATTTTTGTTTTTATTTTTCTATTTTGTTTTAAAAAATAATTAAAATAATAATAATAAAAAGAATAGATAGTTTCAATTTATAGAATCATCCTATATATTATGATCAAATTCATCATATTCGCTTTTTAAAAAATACTTCTTAATATAATCATTACATTGATATAATA